GCTCTTCTTTTCATTGATTTTTTCTATTTTTTTAAGTCTCTATTTCATTTATTTCTACTCTGATTTTTATTAGTTCCTGCTTCTACTGATTTGGGGCTTGGTTTGTTCTTTTTCCAGTTCCTTTAGGTGCATTGTTAGGTTGTTTGAGATTTTCCTTGTTTGTTGAGAGAGGTCTGTATTGCTATAAACTTCCCTCTTAGAATTGCTTTTGTTGTATACCATAAATTTGGGCATATTGTATTTTCATTTTCATTTTCTCTAGGTATTTTTTGAGGAAGAAGAAGATTAGCCCAAGCTAACATCTGCTGCCAATCCTCTTCTTTTTGCTGAGGAAGACTGGCCCTGAGCTAACATCTGTGCCCATCTTTCTCTACGTTATATGTAGGATGCCTGCCACAGCATGGCTTGACAAGCAGTGAGGTCTGCACCCAGGATCTGAACCAGCCAACCCCAGGCTGCCAAAGCGGAATGTGCAAACTTAACTGCTGCGCCACCTGGCTGGCCCCTGTCTCTAGGTATTTTTTTATTTCTCCTTTGATTTCTTCATTGACCCAATGATTGTTCAGTAGCATTTTGTTTAATCTCCACATATCTCTGGCTTTTCCAATTTTCTTCCTGTAGTTGATTTCTAGTTTCATACTGTTGAGGTCAGAAAAGATGCTTGGTGTTATTTCAATCTTCCTAAATTTATTGAGACTTGTTTTGTGGCCTAATACATGGTCTATCTTGGAGAATGTTCCATGTGCATTTGAAACGAATGTGTACTCTGCAGTTTCTGTATATATCTACTAAGTCCATCTGGTCTAATGTGTCATTTAAGGCCAATGTTTCCTTTTTGATCTTCTGTTTGGATGATCTATCCATTGGTGTAACTGGAGTGTTAAAGTCCCCCACTATTATTGTATTACTGTCTATTCCTCTTTTTATGTCTGTTAATAATTGCTTTATATATTTAGGTGCCCCTATGTTGGGTGCATAGATATTTGCAAGTGTTATATCCTCTTGTTGAATTGTTCCCTTTATCATTATGTAGTGCCCTTTTTTGTCTCTTGCTACAGTTTTTGTTTTAAAGTCTATTTTTTTCTGATGTAAGTATTGCTACTCCAGATTTATTTTCACTGACATTTGCTGGGAGTATCTTCTTCCATCCCTTCACTTTCAGTTTGTGAGTGTCTTTAGATCTGCAATGTATCTCTTAAGCACAGCACATATATGAGTCTTGGGGTTTTTTTTATCCAACCAGCCACCCTATGGCTTTTGATTGGAGCATTCAGTCCATTGACATTTAAAGTAGCTATTGATAAGAATGTACTTATTGCCATTTTGTTACTTTTTTTCTGGGTGTTTTAGTAGTTCTTCTCTGTTCTTTTCTTCTTCTCTTGCTTTCTTCCCTTGTGGTTAGATGGCTTTCTTTATTATTATGTTTGGGTTCCTTTCTGTTAATTTTTTGAGTATTCATTATAGGTTTCTGGTTTGTGATTACCATGAGGTTCATACATAATAACCTACATATATAGCAATCTATATTAAGTTGATGGTCTCTTTAGCATTATCTCATGCTAAAAGCTCTACTCTTTTACTCCCCTCCTCCCACATTTTATGTTTTTGATATCATCTCTAACCTCTTGTGTGTGTGTATCTGTTACCATCCTATTGTGTAAATAGACAATGTTAGTACTTTTGTCTTTTGACCTTCGTATTAGCTTCCCAGGTAGTTGATCTACTACCTTTACTGTATATTTGCCTTTACCAGTGATTTTATTGCTTGTTTGTTTTGATAATTCTCTTTTTCCTATTCATGGTCTTCTCTTTTCCACTTAAATAAGTCCCTTTAGCATTTCTTATAAGGCTAGTATCTTGCCTTTAGTTTTTGCTTGTCTAGGAAACTCTTTATCTCTCCTTCCATTCTGAATGATAACATTGCTGGGTAGAGTATTCTTGGCTGTAGGTATTTTCCTTTTAGCACTTTAAGTATATCACGCCACTCCTAGCCTGTAAGGTTTTTGCCGAGAAGAAAGCTGTAAGGTTTCAGCTGATAGCCTTATTGGGTTTCCTTTGTATGTAACTTGTTGCCTTTCTCTTGCAGCTTTTAGGATTCTCTCTTTATCTTTGATGCTTGACATTTCACTTATAATGTGTCTTAGTGTGGTCCTCTTTGGATTTATCTTGTTTGGTGCTCGCTGTGATTCCTATACCTGGATGTCTGTTTCTTTCCTTATGTTAGGAAAGTTTTCAGCTATTATTTCTTCAAATAGATTCTCTGCCCCTTTGTCTCTCTCTTCTCCTTCAGGGACACCTATAATATGGATGTTAGTGCACTTGATGTTGTCCAGAGTTCCCTTAGACTGTCCTCATTCTTTTTAATTCTTTTTCTTTTATCTGTTCAGCTTGGATGATTTCTTCTAGTCTTTCATCCAGCTTGATGATCCATTCTTCTGTATCATCTACTCTGCTATTGAGTCCCTCTAATGAATTTTTCATTTCAACTATTGTATTCTTCATTTCCAATTGGTTCATCTTTATATTTTCCACTTCTTTGTTGAAGTTCTTACTGAGTTCATCCATTCTTCTCCCAAGATCAGTGAGTATCCTTATGACTATTAGTTTGTACTCTTTGTCAGGTAGACTGTTTATCTCTGTTTTGTTTAGTTCTTTTCCTGTGGTTTAATCCTCTTACCTTACTTGGAACTTATTCCTTTGTCTTCCCATTTTGCCTCTTTCCCTGTACTTGTATCTATGTATTAGGTAGGTCAGCTATGTCTCCCAATTTTGGAGAGGTGGCCTTATGTAAGAAATGCCTTATGATGCCCAGCAGTGTGCTTCCCTCTCATCACCAGTTCCAAATGTTCCAGGAGTGTCCCTTGTATGGACTACCTGTGTCCTTCTGTTGTAGCAGGGCTGCTCTTTCTGGAGGTTCCTGGGAGGCTAGGCTGTACCCCTGGCCAGCTGAGTGTAATGCTCAGCTATGTGTGACTGTTATGGTCCCTTCAACCACTATCAGGTGTGGGGACCTCCAGCACAGTTGGCTGCAAGGTCTAATAGCAAATTCCTGTTGCAGTTTTTCTGTTAAGTGAGTAGGCTCCCAGTGTGACTGGTTGCTAGGCTCAGGGGCTTACAATTGCTCTAGGACTCTGGCCTGCAAAGCTGTTGTCAGCTCTCCCAGGATTGCAGCTGATTGGGTCCAGTCCCAGGATTGGGAGCACCCAAAAGTTTCAGGCTTTGGAAGGTGGGGCTGATCCCCTATGTGGCTATTTGAGAAGCACAAGTCTTCTCAGCTGACAAGCCACATGCCCACAGGGTCACACACCTCATCAACACAGTCCTGCCCCATGGGCACACCCCAACCCACTGAAGCAGACCCAGTCGCCCCACTGCAGAGGTCCCACACACTTCATCAATGCAGATCTATCCCACATGCACATGACCTGTCCCACAGAGGTGGACCCACTTGCCCAGTTGCAGAGTTTCCAGGCACCCTACCTATGTGGGCCCACAAGTTGCCTAAGGGCTTGTCATTGGGCTGTTGGGTAGGGCCAGTCCTTAGGGCAACCTTCCTGCCCTGGCTGAGCTGGATTAAATTGGTGCTATATCATGTGAGGCAGACCCCTGGGCTAACAGGTCAGGGGAAGTACACCAATGATGTCTGCCAGCATCTGTGACAGCATGCCTGTCTTAGGTCACAGCAATGGCTACTGCCAATGTCTCAGACCCATGAGAGGTGTCACCTCTCCCTGAGATGCACTCAGAACCCATCAAGTCAGTCTCTTTTCACCAAAGGACTGTGGACCTTTCTTTCTGGTGATTTTAGGTTGCTTTCTGAAATGGGTGAATTTGTGCCTGGGCCCTTTAAGAGCAGGACTTTTTCCCCCTTAAGTCCAATAGCTTTCCTGGGGGTATTCCATATCATACTTAATAGCCAGAAAAGCCAGATATTATTACCCTTGTCTCTGTTGTGCTGAGTCCAAAAGCTGCTTATTGTGGTAACACTCTCGTGCTCAAATCCCTCACTCCTCCAGGAAAGGCTTCATACCTTAGGATGGCTCCCAGCTGACCATGAAGTGCCATGGCTAAAAGGTGGCATTTTTCTCTCAAGAAAGGAATTTATGCCTCTTCCACCTCAGTTAGCACTGTCCCTTGTTGTGGGGGTTCTTTTTATCCAGTTCTTAATTCCCTCTCAGGGGTAATTGTTCCAAGAGTAGTTGTAAATTTGTTGTGTCCAGGGGAGGAGGTGAGCTCAGAGTCCACCTACACTGCCATCTTGACACCATATCTCAATTATTTTTAATTTGTGACACCCTTATGTAAAACGTTTAACTAAACACAATCAAGGTACACATCATATTTAAGTTGATACTCTAAACCTTAGCCCTAAAAAGCAGTGTAATACATAGAATTGAGAACATAGTCTTTGGATTCATACAGCCACAACTTCAAATAGGAGCTCTACCACTTGCCAGCTTCTGGTCCTGCAGCAAGTTGTCTGAACTTTCAGAGACAGTTTCCTCTTCTTTAAAATATAAATCAGAGCATCACTAGGATTAAATGAGGTAATTCATATATAACATTTACTACAGTACCAGGGAAATAGAAAGAGCATTAAAACAGGAGCCAATAATTTCTATTATTATTATTTTTGTTGTTATAATTGGCACTGTTAGTAATAGTGTCCTAGTAATTAATATTAATAATTTATTATTATTAATTAGCATTATTGATAGTAATTAATTACTAAGAGTATATTGGACCTGAAGAACTGAATGTGGTACAAAATGATTTTTTTGAGTTTTCTTATTGAAAAGAATAATTTAAGTGATTCCTTTAAGAGGTCATATTAATGAAACTGGGGTTTAAGACAAAAAGAACCTGATATTATCAGCATATGACCTTAGAGACTATTAGATTTACCAATAGAGGATTGTTACACAAATTTCAAGCTTAAGCTTCAGGGTGAGAAATGGTAATCACACGAAATTAAATGCATATCTTTGCCAGCATCTTACCTCCAGCTGTTTGTCTTCTTTCCATTGCTCAGGTTACTCTTCAGAATTGACAACTGCACATCAAAACATAACTCTGCCAGTCCAGCATCCTCTCTTCAATTGATCTTGGCCACAGATCAAGGCATCCTCCACATGGCCCTTAAACGAGGGAACAATTTATTTTGAAGGTGCTGGGCCCCATCATTGACACTCAGCAACTTTTTTTACTCTACAAATAAAAACTGCGCTGATATTTGTTTAGAAAGTATTTCATCCAGGGCTTTACAAATTGCCTTATTCACAGAAGTTTCCAAGCTTTCTGGATGTCCTCATCCAGTGTCATGCAGGCTGTTGACAAACATGAGATCAGTTGAATTCAACTTCAAGCTAATTCATGCCTCTCTGAGTTCTGTTGCTTTTTTGACCGACATCTATCTTCTATTCACATTCCCTGCTTTAGCTCTGCAATTAGATATGTTACATTCTGCTGGCTTGGAATATCAAAGATTTATTTCTTTACCATAGTATATGTCCAGTGCAAGTTGCCAAGAGGTCTCTGCTTGTCTTAGTCATCAGGGTCCCAAGTTGATAGAACAGGCACCATTTTGAACATTGCCAGTAGCCATGCCAAATAAAAAAGAGCTCCAAAGTGCCTTGCATCAGCAGTTAAATGCTTGACGTGAAAGTGGCATGCATAGCTTCTTCTCGTGACTCATTGGCCAGAATGGTCACACAATTCCACCTGAGCATAGCAGGGCTTGGAAGTATTACTGAACTAGAAGGGAGGGAACTGGGAAGCCCTAATGACTAACACATAGAATTTCTATTTGTTGACAAACAGCAATATCTTCCTTTTATTTGAAAAACTTTAATCTTGAGAAGGTTGTTTACTTGTTTTCTGTGGAAAACTTTTGGGGTAAGTCACAGGATATAATCATTATGTGAAAGGATTAAAAAAACAGATAAGAGTGTAGCTTATTGATTAAAAATTTTGGATGCAAGTAAATTTCAGTGTAGGAGAGTTTCTAGTAGCAAATTGCCATAGTATCCCAGAAATCACAATCACATAGAGACTCACATACTCACCAACCTAGATGAAAATGAAGACAACTTGGATAACAGACTCATCCCGGGGTCCTGCAAAGAACTAGACTTATAGTTTTCATCAAACTGCCTCCATGATATGCATCTTCATTTGCAAAAAGTAAATTTGACCATTTCACACTTAATTTAGGTGTGAGAATTCCAATTATTCATCTTAGAGCATACATGTTCATGGGAATGATGGCAATCTAAATCCGCACTAACAGGAGCCACTAGCCACAAACATAGCTATTTACATTTAAACTTAAATAAGTTCTGTCAAATTAAAAATTCAGTTCCTCAGTCACACTAGCCACACTTCAAATGCTCAATAAGCACGTGTAATTAGCAGCTATTGTAGTGGAAGAGCACAGATATCGAACATTCCATCATTGCAGAAAGTTTTATTGGACAGCTCTGGTCTAATCTTTCACTTTTGCTTCTGGAAACAGTTGGACATTCTCCATTTCCTAAAGCCATACCTTCAAAAGACCAAGCTGATTTCCAAGACCTCAAAGAACTAGATAGAAAGTCCTGACTGTAGTAACCTAACAGTCTAATAACCAAGTCCATCTCTGGTCTTGTTTGATCTCATTGGTTTGATATGCCTTGCGTCTTAGTTACAGAGGGTACCTATAGTAACACACACAAAAAAACTCAAATTCAAGGTTGTTCAAGCTAGAAAAGGAAAGAAGAACCTCAGAAATTACATAGAACTTGTCTCATTTCTACTATTCCTGTACTTCATACCTCCAGGATAAAATTTACCCTAAAAAAAAAATTGGTATAAGATTTGCTATATTTTTTTGTGTGAAAATACAGTAGAAAGTCTAGGTCAAGAGTCATAAGTAATATATGATAATTTATTTTGATTCTCTGTAACTCAATCAAATGATTCCATGAAATTAGGAATATTTTATACGAGTTAATAAAAATAAAGAAAGAAGTGGATCAGCGTGGGTTGTGAGGACAAAGAGGAGAGGATGTAAGAAACACTCATTCTGCTCTTCCTCAGGTATGATATTAATATAATCTGTGCATTGTTCCTCAAGATTGGTATGGTTGGCAACCAAAATAATGATCATTGCCCCTGGAAACATGGCTTGGCAGCTAGCTAGGCTTCAATTCCTGTTGCTTTGTTTTTAAAATGGAATACACAAATATCACCTAATAAACAAGACGTGTATTGCTGCACCCCCAGCTCCTCATTATTGAATCTCTCTCTGATGCTCTCAGTTTCTGTTTGATCAGGCTCCTCTTCCCATTTATGCAAAGGCTGTTCTACCATAAATGAAGGCTTATTTTTCACCGCCTCGTCTAAGTTTGCCAAGATCCAGTAACAGGATCAAGGATCTAATTATAAATGGCTTAAGTCCCCTATCTGATGTGAACAGACAGAATCTGAGCAACAATAAAAATCAAAACATTTCTCTGGATAAGTTTTATCCAACTATGATATATTTTAGGCCAAAATATATTCATTCTCTGAAACCTACAGATACTCAACAAGATTTCACCTTTTTTGCAACTGGGGAAAAAAATAAGAGAATTTTAATCTACAAATTGGCAAATGCTTTACCTTTTTGCAGCCCAGCACCCCAAATTTTACTTATAAGAAGAACTTTAAGAAATACTCATGAAACATGAAGTGTGCATGTCCAGGTACAGACTGTGAAAAATTTTGCCATTGAATATGCAACTGTAGTTGTCAAGGCCTGTTGGTATAAATATTTGTATTGTACCAGCATCTGCAGTGACCAGCACTGAGTCTATTTCTAAAGGATCAAAATTTTAACACAGGGTATGGAGTCCAGCCTTAGCATTAGACTGGGATTAAAATATTAGCGATGCTGCTTTGATATTATGATTTTGAAAAAGTCACCAATCTCTCCAGGTCTTTTTTCTCACTTATAAAGATGCATAAAGTAATATCTTGGGGTGGTTGTAAGGATTAGAAGAAAGGGATGCGAAGTCTCTGGTCAATGGATGTTAGCTGCTGCTGTCATTCATGTGGGCTGCTGCTGCTCTTCTTGTCCATGAGCAAGACAGCGCCATGATGGCAAATATGCCCGTGGACGATGCAGTGACATCATCAACCCCAAAAGGCAAAAGCACTCGTGCCCAACCATTAGGGATATATTTTAAGCATTGAAGAAATAAATGAGCCCCTGTATGGTGGACTTAGTGATAACCAGACCACCATCACATGAAATACTACCCATAACCCCCCTCTGCACAGTATAGCAACTTCCCCTTTAAGAACTTCCCCATCATAGTAGAAGCTTTTTGTTACTTGCTGTCGTTGTGGCCATTGCTGCTTTTGATGCCTGGACTTGAAATCTGGAAACCAAGGTTTGAATTTCAGCTCTGTCATTAACTAGTTGTGAGACCTAAGCTGCTAAGTCTCTTGGCCTCACTGCATCTCAATTTCCTCAGCTTTAAAAATGGGGTTGTTTTGAGCAATGTGGTATTTGGACTTTCAAAAAAGCTTTGCAAACTGTAAATGCTAGTTGTGATGTAGATTAAGAAGAAGTCACCAGGAAGACACTACTACAATGCAACTATGTTACCACAGAGGGACAACAGGTGTCCTGGGATTCCACTGTTTCATCACATTAGCCTGTTCTCACTTCATTCATTCACTCACAAATATTTATTGAATGCCTACTATGTGCCCTCTGCAGCTCTAGGGGCTGGAAATGCAGCAGATAAAAAACACATTCTAGGTCATTGTAGGTCACAATAAGCACATCAATAAATATATGCTTTAATCTAAGGTAATGGTAAGTGCCATGAGGACGGATAAAGGAGCATAGGGAATGGGGTGGTCAGAGTTCTCTCTGAAGAGGTAACATTTAAGCAGAGGCTTGAATGAAGTGAGAGAATGAGCCGTGAGATTGTCTCAAGAAGAGGCATCCTGGCAGAAAAGAAGCAAGTATAAACTCGCTGAAGCAGGAGCACAATTGGAATCTTGGAGGAACATCAAGGAAAGCAGTGCATCTGAAGCCTAGTGAGCAAGGAGGGGGATAGTAGGAGACGTAACCCAGATAATTTAGTGCTTGTAAGCCATGATAAGGAGTTTGGATTTTATTTGGTTAGCTGGAAGATCCAAAGAGCATGGTAGCTGAGGAAATAGAAGTTTTGGTGGGGAAGGGAGATGCAAGGAATTCTAAGATGAGGCCAAATGGGAGAAGGTAAACCCTGACATGGGGCCACAGTAGGTGGTCCTGGACCATGAGAGCCCTGCGAGCTTGGAGAGCATCATGGTGGGCGCAGAGAAAGGCACTCACTCCCAAGGCTAGCCAACGCCTTCAGTGGGGAGGATGATTCGTACTCGAGAACCAATATGACTTTTTCAGAACACTTGACACAAGTAAAGTCAAGTAAGTTAGCACTCACATGTCAAATGACTTCTGGCGGGAACATGTTCAGATGCTGATGTGAATGCAGAAGAGGCCACAAGGACTCACCATAAAAAAAGCTAAGAGAGACCTTGTACACCCCCAAAATGGTATCATAAAGCAAAATGTTTTTAAAACAATATTCTTGTGTCTTTTTCTTATTGTTATATCCCTAATTTCTCTAGCCCACTGCCTATCACATAGTAGGCACTCAAAGTTTGTTGAGTGAATGAATGAGATAAGAAAAGAAGGAAGGAAGGAAGAAAAAAGGAAAGGGAGGAAGAAAGGAAGGAATAGGTGATACTGGTTTCCTAGGGCTGCTGTAAGATATTACCACAAACTTGGTGGTTTAAAACAACAGAAATTAATTCTCTGAGAGTTCTGGAGACCAGATATCCAAAATCAAGGTGCTGGCAGGGTTAGTTCCCTCTAGAGGCTCTGATGGAGAATCCATGCCTCTCTCCTAGCTTCTAGCGGCTGCTGCCAACCCTTAGTGTTCCTTGGTTTAAGTCTGCATAACTTAAGTCTCTGCCTGCGTCTTCATATGGAAGACATACTTCTCTCTGTTTCTTTGTGTCATCTCTTCTTCTTATAAGGATACATGTCATTGGATTTAGGGCTCATCCTAAATCCAGTGTAACCTAATCTTAAGATCTTAAGATTAATTACATCTGC